TATATATATATATATATATATATAAATATATCATGTATAGCGTAGAAATCGGGAATGATATTTTGTGCGCTAGTGAACTCATTATTGAACCACACTCTGGCGTATCTATAAATAGCCTGCGTCTTGTTCGACCCGTGTGAGTGAGTGTGCGTGTGTGTGCGTGCGTGTGAGTGTGTGTGTGTGTTTGTGTATAGTAAGTAATCTGGTAAATTAGATAAGTAATGTCAACGTAATAGGCAACAAACAAACAAACAAAAAAACTGATGACCTACATGGAACTATTAAGATTAAAATTGATTAAATCTTTGGTATAACATAACAACTGTAGAAAAACACAATTCTCGCACTTTGCTGTTGTTCTACACTCAGACACACATTTTCTTTAAAAAAAAAAAAACAAATCTGAAAAGGTCAAAATCAGAAGAACGTAATCAAAAATGACGCCCTTATAACTTGCACGACTACTCTATGCTTAATTTATTAACATATCAATTTTTTCCCCCTTTTATTTTATTATCGTTTTCTCCCTTCAAAACCCATTTTTTTTTTTTTTGGGGGGGGGACTTTTTAGTAGATATGTTTTAAAAATCGGTTGCAGGAGCAGGCAGCGGCCACAAGCAAAATGCGCTTGTCATACTTGGGGAAGCCATAAGGGGTCATGCTACGAACTTTGACCCATTTTCCATAGTAGACTTTGCTGCAGCAGGTGGATTGAATGAAGGACACGTTTTTTTCGTGGTCAAATGGTCTCCCTGGAGAAAAAGAAAGTTTACAATATTAAATTATTATTATTGGAAAAAGGAGTCATTTTGATTTTCTTTAAAATTCAATAAAGCATCAGATGTGATGGATTGACGTTGAAAAAAATAGTTTAGGAGGATTAAGAATTTTTTTTTTTTTAAATATTTCCTGGTGTGTGTGTGGGGGGGGGGTCTGATTTCTCAATGTATGTATGAAAATGGCTTATCAAAAATAATCTTTTAAAATAGATTTTAAATTAACCTTGCAATTAAGTGTTCATCATTGCTCAACATCTTTGTTTCAATTCTAAGGCATATTTATTTACATCTATATTTTGAAAATCTAACTATTCCATAAGCTACAAGTATTATTTTTAACTCGCCAGTTGAACAAAAAAATCTTAATCCAGAAACAAAAATTAATTTCGTTGATATTGAAATTTTTTTTATCGACATTGAAGTAAGTCTCACCATTTGGGATGAATTCGTTGTTTTCAGTCAAGTTGAGACATTGGTGAGTCATACACTGGGCCTCCAGGTGAGACTGGGGTATCCTGTTTTTGTTTGTGACCATCACGTAGGACCAAGGGCAGGCGTGAGTTACCTGGGGAATGTTCATGTCCTCCTGTCCTTCTCGTGCAAGAATGCAAGGGATGAATCCAATCAGACAATGTTTGGATTAATAATATGGCAGTTTTTCATTTTGGGGGGAGAGTGGTACGCACTGGCTTCTAACATGAGAAATTAATCTCCTATTTTAATTTTAATGGCTCGTTGTAAACAGTGCCTAACAAAAGACGATACCATAGAGTCAACAATATTAAAGATACGACACCCAAAACAGTTTCTAGTTAAAATTAATAAGATTTATTAAGTCGTAATATAATTACAAAATAAAAATAAAATATAATGACAATCATCAACTTACAGTGTGGTAGATCTTGTACCGGTGCACAGTTAACACAGTTAGAATAATATGCCAATGAATAATGATGAAATGCGAGATAGACACATATGAGCACACAAATACAAAAAGGATAACATAAGTCTCGTGAAGTTAATAAAACCTATCTGAACCTCCGTCCGTGCCTGTCAATCCCTTATATAGGTCACTTAAGCACTGCCTTCCAGAAACGACTTATGATGTGTTTTTACATTTCTCGGGTTATCGAGCACATTCCAAAAACTACCAGGACACATACTACCCAATGTGTAATTGGAAGCCGATAGTAAACAACATGCATCAAAGAAATAGGCCACGCCCACAACATACGTTACTGTCTGCTAGGATTCTAATTTAGGTCAAGTAAAATTCAAGCACGGGCAATATATGCTACATAACAGAGAGTTGCAGGAAATAGAAGTGGCAATATTAGGATTAGTAGTATTAGCATTAGTACTAGTAGTCGTGGTAGTAGTAGTAGTAGAATTGGTAGTGGTAGAAGTAGTTATAGTTATAGCAGCAGTAAGATAAGTAATAGCAGTAATAAATTATATGTATTTAATTTAACTACGAGCAACCTATGAAATACGCCGAACAACCAAAAACAAATGAAAACATATCTCTAGAAAGCAGGTAATTTGACTGTTAATGTTTAAAACACAAAGTCAACTTTCAAGTCAAGTCTAAATGCAGGTCCATAACAACAAGGCAAAATCTCGGACTTAAATATATGGGCTTATTATGTTAATATAAAAAGCGAAAACTCTTTATTTTTTCCTTATTTTATTTCATTGGGGAGTTGACTGTAATATACTCTATATGGTATGTTGATTTTTTTAAAGTGAAACAAGATTATAATTTTTATCTTTAAAAAAAGGAATACTGTAATTTGCTAAATACTCAATATCCCTTTTTACACGGGACAAACATGTTCTTTCCCATTTCTTTTTTAAAACAGTAATTTAAATCCTAATGTTGTAAGCACGTGTGTCCAACTTACCAGCTGTCCACGATTTGGTGACGTCGTCCTCTGTGTCCGAAATGATCAAATCTTTGTACTGTTCTTTCAGATGGTCGCTTAAGAAAAAAGAGCCATCAACATAAGGTGATTTGCGCCATTTTCTTCCGTTGCATAACGTCACGAGCTGCGTTGAAGAAAAGAGAAAAAAAAATATTATAATCTTTTTTAAAAATTTCTTTTTTTTTTTGGCACAAGACAAAATGATTTTTATACGAACACTCATAACAAAAAATATTTTCTTTTATAATAAAATAAACCTATTCTTTTTATGATTATAACATGAGCCAAAAATTTAAAATAAAAATTGATTATTGTAATAAATTACATGGACATTTCATTTATATCTTTAAAAAAAATGTGCTTGTAAAAATCTTGAAAATAATTATATGATTCTTTGGAATTGTTTTAATATCTTGTCATATTCTTTTAGTTTAATTTTAGCTATAACAGTAAATAAATTAGTTACAGCTTAGAAGTAAATTAAATCAAATTCAAAGTTCTGTTCACTGGTGTACACTTCTATAAAAGTGTGCAACTCATACATGAACTGGGGTATCTACAGGCTTACATATCAGCCCTTAAGGTTGTTTTGAAACATGTTTAATATGTCTGAAAAATATTCGTATGCTTACCACACTTATTACGGCCAGGGCGATGAGTGACTTTGGTTCCATTTCTCGAAACTCAATCCGCTGGCTAATTACCAAAGAAAGCCAAAATTCTTTCCTTTATGCAATACAGCTGACTGAACGGCACGATTTTTAGTGATTTGATTTCTACTGTGTTGAACTCAGAAGTCTTTGAAGGATTACTTCACAAAGTTTATAAATCACTAAAACTTTTCAAATGAGTGCTTGCTTATTTTTTGCTTCCCTGAAGAAACAAATACATTGCTTCGAGAGTTGAGGTTTAGACTCGGGCTCTGTTAATTCTCCATAAATTGTCTAAATAATAAAACAACAGTCTAAAAGTGGATAGTGCATCAGCTAAGGAATGTTGTGTGCTGCTGTAATTTTTTTCCAATATAAGATTAAGTAGAAGTTTTCTTTAATTCTAGAGTCAGCTCAGCGGTACTTCAAACATCGGGTCGTCAGATTTAAGTAAGACAGCCACTTAAATATGGACCGACATCTCCAATGTTTGCTTTTGCCTGAGCCAAGCCTCGATTTAAAAAAAAAAAGGTTTCTGCTCTGGTCGTACGAGTTTCTCCCTCTCCTAACGACTTTGCAATCTTTCAAGCACGCGAAGTAGAGTAACATGTATTAATGGAACAGTGTTTTGGTGGCGCGCCGCATGGAGGCGCAAAACCGTACAAGATTTAATTTAGGCGCAGGGCCATATAGTAATTAATTAAGGGTGATAATCACATAATTATGTTTAATTTGATTTTAATTTGTTAATTGGATTTTAAACTTATTGGTTTTGCTGTTAGATGAGGATTTTAATTTTGTAATAAATAATCTAGTTGTTTTAGTTTTGTTATAAATCTTTTTGTAGTGTTTAATCGTTTAATTCCCTTTAATGAGTATAGTTTGGCTTTTAGCGAATTGTTCCCAATCTAGGGTTACGTGTCTTTTATTTTTCTATATAAAAAAAAAAATTAAAATTCCTTTCAATGAGAAAATCTTAAATTATTATTCTTATTGTGTGTATTTCTATCGAAATGTTCTCAAGTTAAAGCTAGCTGTTATGCACTTGTTAAAATCTATTTTGAGTAGTTCTCAAACTCGGGTTATGGTTCTTCATACGTTGTGGTGTCTCTTATGAACAAGAACTTTTTTTTTAAAGTCTGCACAATTCTGTAGAAAGTTCAAGAAGAAATGTTCATTAGATTCGTGTTTGTCCACTCTTGTTACCTTTAGGACCAACGATAAGCATTGGTGATAACATAATTACACGTTATCAGGGCCTCGTGCATGGATATTTTGGGAAAACGTCTGGCCCTGTAAAAAAAAACTCTGTCAATAGGTCTTCCTGTTATCTCTAAATGAACTGGTCTCAAATTCTTGTTCGCCAACCTTGAGTGGTTTTGTCTATGTCTTGTATTTTTAAAAAGAGTTGTTCCCATTGTATGAGGGCCACAGGGGCGTATTTTGTCTTTTTTTTTCCTCTAGTATTTTATAACGTGATAATTTATATAGTAATTCATAATTCATATGATAATTTGTATCTATATAGAGTGGTTGTCAAGTTGGGTCGGGTATCAGTGGTCACAAGGGTGTATTTCATCTTTGTTTGTTTTTTTCTTCTTATGTAATAAATCCCCTTGTTGTTGTTTTATTTTGAGTGGTTCTCATTTTATGATGGTAATTGGTATTCTTGTCGTGGAAAGGTTTTTATCGAATGGTTCTCACTGTATGGGGTTTGGGGCCAGTAGTCATACGGGGGTATATTTTGATTGTTGTTTCTAATATATGTAATTAATGTGTCGTGTTGTATGATTATTTTATTTAAGTTTATTGAGTGATTCTCAAGCTTGGGATAGGGTAGCTAGTCATAAGGGTTGTTTGTAGTACAATTGTTTTGCCTTGAGAGACTATCAATCTTATTTTAGCTGTCACTAGTCTAAAAGGGGTTCTTCTTTTGAATACTTGATTTGCAGTGTATATAAGGTTGTGTTTTTTATTTATCGTAGTTAATTAAGTCTAAAAAATTATACAACAATATATATACAACACAACAGGTTTCATTAATTTGAATAGGTTTTATTTACAGTAAACGTATACGAGTTTGGAAGCAAGCATAGTTATAAATACTTAAATAGTAAGTAGTTTAGAGTTAATATAAACGAGAAACACCTTCTTTAAAACATACACGTCTCCCCTATTCTCTGCTTTTAGTGAGTTTTGATTTGCCTAGCTCAGGCCCGAACAACTCAAAATGTAAGGCGGGCCGTACTATTTTATGAAAAACTTGTGCGGGCCAAAAGAAAATAGGCCAGGGCTTGCGCGGGCCAAAAGAAAATAGGACACGGGGACATCTATTAGGAACATTATTAGAATAAAGAATATTTCGCGGGCCGCAAAATGGGTGCTTGCGGGCCACATGCGGCCCGCGGGCCGTGTTTTGTGCAGGCTTGGGCCTAGCTGATTGTCTTGGTCCCAGAGATTCTCTTTTTATTTAATTGACTAGCCCGACGACACCTAACAATTTAATTTTACTGTGTCCGTGTCGCTTAGGCTTTGAACTTAAACAAATCACAAACGATGAGATGGAGCCCTTGTACGAATTGGGGGATTATTGATTAAAGGCGCGGGTGTTGGCGCGGTTCACCTGTATTAGTAGAGGTAATTACGATAAACGTGGACCACAATAAAGTCACGGTCTACCTGCTAGCGATCTTTGTAACAAAAAAATTTAGTCAATGGGTCTTAAATTTATCTATTGGCCGCTATAGGAATGATCAGAAAAGCTATAATGACGTAGCGTTAAAGTTCAACCTTTTGTTAAGGGAGACAGGTCGAACGACCGTGAATTTAACAACCCTGAAACTGATAGGCAGGTTGCATCCCACACAGTTACTCTAATGTCCCTACAGCTTAAACACATGATGCGCCCGAGTTGATGTCGGTCATCAACGTTGTCCCAGTCGTATCCATAAATTATAACACACCGGCGTCGTAATGTTTTAATCTTAGCGTACAGTGAGTCTAAGGTAAATGCTGCCCCTTGTTCAGGGCACCTGTGAAAGGTAATCAAAAACATTCTCATGATGTTATTTCTAACAATTTTATGCAACCCTTCTTCTCGCTTCGACATCAAAGAAAACTGAAAACTTTTGACTGTGAGACAGATCAAACTATGGCTCATTGCCCCCCCCCCCACCACCCTAATCATTCAACTTCTCAAGCATAATATCTAATTCCATTTCCAAGATATCAAGAAAGTATTGAAAAGCTAGACCCAATCCTGAGTTTAACATTTTCCTCAAGTATAGTTCACATTGTTTCCTAATATGGTTATAAACTCCCTTCCATAATAATACCTCTAAACTATATTGAACAATCTCTTACGCTCTCTCTCTCTCTCTCTCTCTCTCTCTCTCTCTCATTCTCTCCCTTTCATCTCTCCTATCTTCATCTTTCACCATCTTTCACTCTACAACAAAAGTAACTTCTTAAAACTTTACTATGGACAGCACAAGTATCATAATACCTCTTAACTGCAGCATCCCATCTCTCTCTCTCTCAGCCTTTCTCTCTATCTCTCTTTTTCTCTCTCTCTCATCCATCCTATCTCCATCTCTTACCGTCTTTCACTCTACAGCTAATGTAATTTCTCAAAACTTCACTCTGTCCAACGCTGCTCTCATGACACCTTTTAACTGAGTCGTTGCCCTCAACTCATTCAGTCCATCCACCCAACAAAAAAAATTTGTTTTCTTTTTTTTTTCAAAAGGTAAGATGAAGGAATTCGCAGACACTGATTTGAAGGAATTCGCAGACACTGATTTGAAGGAATTCGCAGACACTGATATGAAGGAATTCGCAGACACTGATTTGAAGGAATTCGCAGACACTGATATGAAGGAATTCGCAGACACTGATTTGAAGGAATTCGCAGACACTGATATGAAGGAATTCGCAGACACTGATATGAAGGAATTCGCAGACACTGATATGAAGGAATTCGCAGACACTGATATGAAGGAATTCGCAGACACTGATATGAAGGAATTCGCAGACACTGATATGAAGGAATTCGCAGACACTGATATGAAGGAATTCGCAGACACTGATTTCACGAAATAAAATTCCAATAACTGCGCAACATTAGATTTTTAAAAAAAATATCGCAAGTGCGTTTGGCGCGTAATTTTTTCTCTTGTTTGTCTGAAGTAGTGAAATAAATATGTGGTGTAAAATCATGTGGGTCATTGGAATATTAATATAGATCAGGGGTGTGAAAAAAAGGCGGATACATGCCGTTGGGGAAGGGGGGAAAGCCCAAATTGGGATTTTTTTAACTCCTATTATTTCTCAAATTTTGAGCCCAACAGCCAATTTCTAGATATTATATTTATAAAAAAAACTTTATGCGAAAAAATGTGTTTTTATTGCTTGTTTGATTTTAATAATTTTTTATTTCCTTTTTAAAATTATAATATCTGTTAGAGGAGTGGGGAGAGAAAGTTGGGTAAATTTGGTGTGGGTCGAAGGGGGGTGTTGACCGCTAAAAGAAATCTATTTTGGCATAAGCATTAATGGCTATGAGAAAAAAATTATGTTCTCCATAACGGAATGTAAAAATTTTGGCACGCCTTCATTATTGAATGCAGCACTTTGTCTCTCTCCTTTAAGAATGTATTATTTTTAGGATTCATATTATTTATTTATTTATTTTGCTTTTCATTTTCTTTAAAAATATTTTTTTATTTTTTTATTTTAAGTTGAGAATCATTGAATCTTTTTTTTTTTTTTATTGTCTTTTAATTTTTATTTTTTTTTTTTTTTTTTTTTTTTTTTAATGTAATTTAATTTTTAATTTTTTTTTTTTTTTTTTTTTTGTAATTACAGAGATCAAGATCTGCTGAGTTTATAAGTATGGAAGAAAAAAAGTGTTCTACATGCGAATGTATTCTTTAATAGGGACTGTGTTATGACGCTTAGTTTCCGTCTACACTATAAGCGTCATTTTTCTGACGATAAAACAATACACACCATTTTCTGAACATATCTGACGCGTCCATCTCTTGTTAAAATATTAGACATTGAACAGAAATTTTTTTTTTTTTTTTTTTTTTTTTTTTTTTTTTTTTTTTTTTTTTTTTTTATTTTTTTTTTTTTTTTTTTTTTTTTTTTTTTTTTTTTTTTTTTTTTTTTTTTTTTTTTTTTTTTTTTTTTTGTAATTACAGAGATCAAGATCTGCTGAGTTTATAAGTATGGAAGAAAAAAAGTGTTCTACATGCGAATGTATTCTTTAATAGGGACGGTGTTATGACGCTTAGTTTCCGTCTACACTATAAGCGGCATTTTTCTGACGATAAAACAATACACACCATTTTCTGAACATATCTGACGCGTCCATCTCTTGTTAAAATATTAGACATTGAACAGAAATCAATAATGGCCTTAAATCGAAATGTGAGTGTTTGTGGGGGGGGGGGGGAGACTTTGACACCATTATATAA